CTCTCCTCTAATTTTTCACACAGACTCAAAACCTGTTTAAGTAGAATTTTAGTTGTACATCACAACGCACTTAGCCTCCCGCCATGACACATGGCACAGAGAAGCTTTACTAATGTTCTTACCTATGTGTGTCATAGCGAGCAATCCTCACACCGCGATAGGGCACAAATGACCCTTCACATTTTCCTCCACTTTTGATGCTTGAATTGTCCGACATCACTTCAAACTCACATTTAGGACTGAATCACAATTAAACATACTTATTAAACCTTTTTGACTATACACCACATTAATTCACTTAATTACCCTTATTAAACTTAATTAATCAAGTTTAGATTTCTAGGATGGTACATCTGACATAGTCAATTATAAATTAGGTGGTTTAAAAATTCATGTATTTTACAAGTTCTCATTTGTAAATTGACATTTAAGTGTCATTAAAATAACGTGTTCATATAAGTAATAAATTTAATTTTCAAACCACTTGTTTGTTATAACATAACAGTGACTTGTTAATTCCTAAACATTACTTATTATTCTACTAGCTTTACTTGTTAATCTGACGTGGTCTATTACAAATTGAAGGGTTTAAAAATTCATGTATTTTAACTTGTAATTGACTATGTCAGATTAACAAGTAACATTGGGTTTAGATTCATAACCTTGTCTGAAAATCATGAGCTTCCAACCCCACATTCTACTTCCAAAACATGTAAAGAGAAGGATAAGGATTAGGGAGGACATACATAGATAGAACCAAGTGTAAATCACCTTTAAAATGCCCTAATGTTAATGCCCTAGTAGAGCCAAAGCCTCCCATTATCGCCTTCAAACTGCAAATTTAAAATTTTTGAACATTCGCCATTGCACATGGCATCTCCACCGTGACGGATGGCATAGAAAGTTCATTGCCAATTTGCTCTCCTATTCAAGCCTAGGTTACCCATTATACCTCTGGATCCGATCCAAAGGACATTCCCATTATCAAAAGGCCTTGTTAGCCATCCTTAACAATTATCAAACTAATTAACACTCAATTTTACCTAATAATCTTGATTAATTTATTTAATTCAGGAATTAAAATCTACGATGTTACAATAGCCATAAGGTTTTTAGGTTACTCAGGGGTCATGTGTTCAAACCCCTTGATGATAGGGTCTCTGGTGGCTGACAGAAGCAACTTTGGAGTTGACTTTTTTCCTAAAAAAATAAAGAAGGGGTATTATTGTCATTTCACTTCTAAACTTATTTACATTTTAATCCTTAGGTCTTACAGTTTAAAATCAAATTATGCCAGTCCTTTCTTGTAAAAAAAAAACTTACTCCAATAGTCCTTAATTATAATTTTCTCTTCTTTAAAAACATGATTTTCCTACCTATAAAACTCTTCTATTCATTAGAAAAATTATTCATGAAGCAATACCTATTAGCGATGTATTGAACAAGCATCATCCAAGCTCCATACTTTAGTGGGCCTTTGGTTATGACACATAAGAAACTTTACATCATACCTTTTATGATTACCCTTACACCACAAGAGTCATCTAGTTTGGCTCTTTATCTATATGCTCCTTAGACATTTTTTTCTAAAGGTCTTACCTTTTGGATCTTACAATCTATAAAAGTTCTATACTAAAATTAAGAGACTCAGACTTTAAAATGCATTTATCTACTACTACATCCGATCTGGTATACAAGAAATCATACTTTACATACAAATAAGATAATTCCAATTAAATAGGTCATTTGGAATTTTAATGAGCATTGCATATTTTAAAAAAGTACATGTAGATGGCATTAGAGTACTGTCGCACCCGAATCGTGATCTTCCCGATGAGGGAAGGTCGATAAATGTAGGAAAATATGAGTCGTCACCAAAGTTTTTAGAGAAACCTTGGAAAACTGTATAATAAAAAAAGATAGTAACGAAAAGGATTCGGGAGTCAGTTGTATGTGGGAAAGATGTTAGGCACCTCATAATACCCGTTCCTAAGAACGATTACCCTAAATTGATTGCATAAATTAATTGATCTTTTAATAATATCTTAATTATCCTTTATTCCACATGAAAAAAAAGAAGATAAAAAAATAGAGGAAACAAATTATTTATTTACATGAGAGGACTCAACCTAGGATCAAAACATAGGGCCTACGTACCTTGTGATGGGATCAAAGTCCACATAATTTAAAATATTATTATTTTTAACTCTTTTAATTAGTTTCTCTATTGAAAAGACTGATATTTTGGGTTATATTATTATACTTATTTATTTTAAATAAAAATTTGTTTCAAGGAAGTACTTTTAGGTAAGAAAAAAATAATCAGTATTAGAACCTACAGTGATGTAGTATCACTCATAATCTACTAATTGACACTCTAAGTACACACGGTGATTTAGTATCACTCATGGCAAACCTTAAAGGAATAAAATGAATTTTCAAGAATAATTTTCTAGAAAGTATTTTAATAAGAAAATTTGGATAGACATTTTTAGAGATCCAAGGTGACTTAGTATTACTCATGGCATAACCCAAAATATGCCAACAAATTTGTTATTTTTACTTGAGATGACTTAATATCATTCACAGCATCTCATTTGGTATTTTTAGAGGAATCCACAGTAATTTAATATCGCTTATGATATAACCTAAAATATGCCAACAATTCTATTATTTTTACCTGCGATAATTTAGTATTATTCACAGTATTTTATTTAATGCTTTTATAGATCCATGGTGATTTAGTATCACCCATGAAAACCTAACAAACAATAATTTTTTGTTTTGTAGAATAAAATAAAGGAAATTGAGGAAGATCAACCATAGATCCATCAGTATGTTTTGAGCATAATTAATTATTGGCCAGTCAAATATAGGGATGCCTCTATTGTCATAAAAAAAATGCCAAGAAGAACATGAAAAGAAGGAAGGGAAAAAAAGAAAAAGAAAAGGAGAATAAGTGGTAAGAATGTTATCATCATTTACCACGTAAATTTTTTTTTCCTGAATCGTTGGCCATGTAATTGAATCACTGAAAGAAAAAGAAAAAGAAGAAGAAAGGAAAAAAACGCAAAAGAGAAGGGAAAAAAGAAATGAAAAAATAAATATAAGCACAAGCATTACATCGTAAAATGAAAGGAGACAAATAAAAGAATATCACCCCACAATTTGTCAGACTTGGATGGCAATTCTAGGGGTGGCTTCACATTAGGTGAGAGGCAAGCAATAGTGAGATTTTATCACCTTTCCCTTTGTAGCATATGGTAGCTCTTTTTATTTCAGACACACTCTTCACACTTTTTCACTCACGTGTCTTTTCTTATCTCAATTTTCCTGTCTCTCAATTTATCTTAATTTTTTTATAAAATCTTATTTTTCCTTTTTTATTGTATTTATTTAATTTACTCAATTCTATTAGGATTTTTATTTATTTTTAATTTACATCTGGAAGTCCAAACAAAATACGGTGTTTATAGAGGTGTTCATGGAACGGGACAAGACCGAGACATCCTCATCTTGTGTCCCATCTCAAAAAATAATCAGGATTGAATTTTTATTCCATGTTCTATCTTATTCTGAAAGTCATCTCATTTTATTAGAAATCAAAATAGGATTAGGACATTCTGATAAAGCGGACAATATAGGAAAAAGACTTAGATAACAACTTTTATTAAAATATTAAATAACATAACCTGTCAAGTTTAAAACTAATTACATAAATCATAATAATTTAAAGTCTATTATTGAGTTACATCAATCACAATTACAAATGTATAACTTAAAATTAAGTATACATAAAACATAATTCATTATAACATTAATTACAAGTGACCTCTAGCTACAAGAACAATAGTAATAGACAAAGCAGGCACAATATTAAGTCATTTTTTTCTTTTGTTGATATATTTAAAGCTATTAGCTTTTTCAAAAATAAAGTAAGAAATACGATACAAATAAAACTTATTAAATAAATAAATATAGAAATAAATTATATTGATATAATTAATATATTGTGAAGAAATATATTATCTTGTTTTACTTGCTCTGTGTTATTAAAATTATTAATATCAATAATTTTTAGTTTTGAATAAGGATTGCAAATATTAAAATTATATTAATATAATTAATATATTTAATACATATTTTTAAAAGAAAAAATATATATATATATATTTTTTTTTTTTTTAAATATATATATACATACATACATACATATATATATATATATATATATAATTCCAGGACGAGAAATCTTAAGGGCAATCTCTTATTCCATCCCGTTCTAAACCCATTTTTGTCCTGTCTCATAAAGTTTCATCCTACTTTTTTTCTAGTTGAGAAAAACTCATCTCGATATGATTGGGACAGAATTAAACTGACTAAAATGAGTACAAAGTTAAACTCTCCTAAATAAAATAACAGCCAACATGAAAGAAAAATATAAATCTTAAAACTATTGAAGGAATTTTCATGTCTGGCTCTCATAATCAAACTCATGATTTCAACGGGAGATTCGGGCACATGTTTTTGCAAAAAGGAAAAAAAAAAATCTTACTAGACTATTTCTTCATGTCTCGACAATGAAAGTTGGATTAGACTACTTTTTAGCCAATCTAATGCTAATGCTATTAGCCTATTACTCCACATTTATTCTTGGCCTTTTATATCCATAGCATCCTTCTTTGGATCGGAATTTCTCCTTGTATTATTTTGGAAGGGTTACATGGTTTGGGAACTTGAGAACTAGGCATAATTAGGGTGTTTGCTTTTGCTCTAGCTGATGATATATTGTGAATCAAGATATTTTAAAGCTTTTGGACAACTTTAACAGTTTATGCTATTCAGAGATGTGAAACACGCTTCTTCTTTTTTTCGCCCGCTACTTCATCTTTTTTTTTTTTAATATTTCTGTTTTGAAATTGTAGAATTTTCTTTTTGTGTTGATACTTGATATATTGGCCTTCTTACAATAAAACAGAATCCATATAATTCTAGTTTCCCATCATTTGCGTTGGGCTCACGCGGTCACGCCATATCGTTTGACTCACTGAGCGTGTTGGCGAGACTGGGTGTTTCTAGACACTTCGCCTGAGTGTTTGGCGCCATCGTATAAATCCCCTGGAATCACATCTCGCTTCTTTGCCTCACATAACACAGAGCCACAGATTGTGTCCGGCGATACAGAGAGAGAGAGAGAGGGAGGGAGGGAGAGGGAGAGAGAATGTCGTACCTGTTGCCGCACCTTCATTCTGGATGGGCCGTCGATCAGGCTATTCTTGCCGAGGAAGAACGCGTCGTCGTTATCCGCTTTGGCCATGACTGGGACGATACCTGTATGCAGGTACCTGTGTATTCATTCTTCTTTAATCTCAATTTAAATTCAATGACTGCAAATCAGATGATGACTCGTGGAATATCTGAGGTGACTTAAAAATTGGTTGAAGAATTTGAGTTTAAATTAATGAACGCAAATGTCTATGTTTATTTGTGGTTCATCTTTGTTTGTTTTATGTTTTGAAGGATGACAATTGACGAAGGAAGCTATAATCTGAAATAAGGTAGACACAGAGCCTGCATTTAGACCATATCAATTGTGTTTAGTTTGGTTGTTGTTGTATTGATTTTTCTGCATTTCAATTTTTGAGAATAATTGTCATAGCCTGCTGGGAAGCCCAAGAATTACAAAAGACTGTAATGGAGGTAGAAACTCTGTATGGTTCTGTTGAGATTTGCAAACTGATTAGAAGTGCTACCAGGTTGCACGATATGTTCCTTAATGAGAACTTGTTCTGTCTTTGTTTTTTGCTTGTGATATTAGTTTGAATATGCATCGGTAATTTCTTTTTTTTTTTTTTTTGGGTTGATTCTATGTATCTTCACCTGGAAATAGAAAAGCCTAGAACAATTTGTGGTGAGCAGGCATATCAATTGTAATCCATGATTATTGCTTGTTGGCATATAAAGATTGATGTTGTGTATCTAAATGGATATAGAACCAATTAGTATATAGCCTGGGATGATCTCGTTAATCCAAACAAATCAATGATTTCTGTGTGAAAATCCTTCCGAGAACACAAACAAAAATGATAAGGACTAGAGTAACGGAATAGCAGAACAATGAAAGAATAACTGAGAACTCTGTAAAATCATTATGTTATGAAATCTGTCAATTATTTTCACTTTTTCCTGCCTCATGAAGGTGAATGTGTTGAGCTCAAAAATAAAAAATAAAAAAATCTTTTGAAATTTGTCAATTTCTCCTAGTTAAGCCCTCTAATGCATGCCAAAAGAGAAAGAAAAATCCTCTACTTACAAAATCGATTGGGATGTTTATGCTTTAGTAAGTAAGTTCTTCAATGTCAAAGGACCTTGAAGATTTTTATTTACGTCTTTGAATCATAAGCATTTGCTTTTCTTCTCTCTGGTTCCGAATTGGCATCCTTAGCCTTTGAGGGGATCAAGGATTTATTCTCCTGAAGCTCTCCCATTTTTGTATGCATTGGCATGTTTTCATGGCTCAAAATTTAAAGGAAACTATTTTTTTCTCAAAGTTTGTTTCAACTGCTATGTTGGAGTGGTAGTATGATATTTATTGGTTTAATTATGGGAGATATGTTGTGCTCCAGGGATTCAAAGTATTGCTTCGTCCTTCTCGTTGCCCTATTTAAACGTGCATCAGATAATTCCTTTCAATTCTGTAGTCTCAAGATTTGTCCCAATGTTTACCTAATCATTTGATTAATATGTGTTAACATCAGATGGATGAGGTGCTGGCATCAGTTGCTGAGACGATTAAAAATTTTGCAGTAATTTACCTGGTGGACATCACGGAGGTTCCTGATTTCAACACAATGTATGAGCTTTATGACCCATGCACTGTTATGTTCTTCTTCAGGAACAAGCATATCATGATAGACCTTGGAACTGGAAACAACAATAAGATTAATTGGGCTCTTAAGGACAAGCAAGAGTTCATTGATATTGTTGAGACAGTCTATAGAGGTGCCAGGAAGGGACGTGGTCTGGTAATATCTCCTAAAGATTACTCCACCAAGTATCGCTACTGAATTAGCATTCAAGTTATTGATTTGGGTTTTAGGGAACTACTTAAGACACTTGAGTGATAATAACCACTGTAAATAGTGAGCCTTCTATCTGATTACCTTTGAGTAGTTGCTGAGTTGGTGGTTGTGATTTGAATTGCATGGAACATCTTTAACTACAATATTATGTTAGCTGTGGCTAGTGTCCTTTATAATTGATGTCAGTTTGGATTCTACTTGTAAGATGTTTACTAGTTACTAGTGATATCCAGAAAATTATGCAGAATATTCTAAATTATCACGTAGGTTGAAAAATTGTAAAATTTTGAAACGCCAATTCTAAATCAGAGGTAGAGTTTCTTCTACATGTGAAAAATGTAAGTGGTTGTCTCAAGAAAGCAGTCAATATATAATAATTATAAATAGTTTGTGTAGCTGAGCGAGATCCTATTGTCGTTGGGCTGGAGAGGAGATTCCTCAACTTGCGTTTGATTTGAATCAGACGAAGAATTTATTCGCTCAATGAATATCTTATCTTGCACAATAATAATCGGTTGTAAGAGATTGTCATATAATACTCAACAAGTACAAATATCAAAGTTTGAGAAGGGACAACATACGTAAGCAATGTTTTTATCACGGCGGTTATTTTGAATTTTTTAAGAAAAATATATTTTAATAATTTTCAGATAGTGATAAAATTCAATGGCTGAAATTGATGCACTCATCAAGATTTTTTAAGGAAAATGTATTTTAATAATCTTCAAGTAGTGATAAAATTTAATTATTGTAATTGTGATACTCATTAAATTAGTGAATTTAAGTCACTCCATGAATTCAAATCCCATGGTTGCTTAACTTTTTATAAACAGAGACTAATAGTCATAGAGCTATCAAAGAAAAAGTTTCAGAAAATAGCAATAAAAAACTACTAGAAGAAATTTATATTAGTCAAGAATTAGTTATTGTTAAAACTTGAATAGAAAATAAGTCTAAATAAATTATTATTAATTAAAATAATTTATTATTAAAACCTGAATAGATATTTGTTGATAAAATATTAACTTGAATTAACAAGTATTTATTTAATTTTTGATAACCAATAATCATTGTTAATTTGAGTTTTAATTTCTATTTTAAAATACAAATGACTAACATGATAATTTAAAAAAAATGTGAGAAACCAAATGGATAAAAAATTAAACTTAAAGAGTCAAATTTATAGTTAAGACAATGTAAAGATTAAAAATTTTATCATTCCATAGCATCAAAGGTAAAATAGTCTAGCCTCCTTTCTTTTTTTTTTTTTTTTATAACTATCTTTGTGCTTGGGGCAATGACACAGTTATTGAGGCTCTAACTTCCGTTATATTTTACTTTAATTACATATATTTTATTTCTATTTTTAAATCCTATTCAAGCTTCTCTTAATATGAATAGCTACAAAACACAAACATTCTTTCTATTTTTAAAATTGTATCTTTATCCATCCAACCGTTAATTGACAATTAAGTTATTTATGTTAGATCAAAATATCTTTTTAAATATAAATGTTGTTTAAAAATTATTTAAATTACTAAAAACAATCATGTATATATTTTCTTAACTTTTTATTTGTATTTTGGATTTTTAGTTATGTAAATGTATTTATTTAGTAATTTAAAAAAATAAATATATAAATTGGCCAAAATAATATTGAAAATGTTTATTAAAAATTTAATTAAATAAAATTTTTAAATTATTTATTTAAATATTTATATGCTTAATTATTTAATTTATTTTAAATTGTGAGAGAGAGTACATAATTAAATCATACGGATAAAATAATAATTTAATTTTGTAACATAATTACAAATTAAAATTATCTATTTTGGAATCGTTAATATAATATTCTTAATTGTGTTAAAAATTAAACTAAAGTATAGTTTTTGAAAAATAGAATGGAGGTCTTTGTAATTTAGCAAAATGATAGGGAGGTCACCTTATTTTACTTTATTATTAATATATAAAATTCTCTCTCATTATTTTTCACATTATTGTCAGATTTTGAATAGGAACCAATGACTAGTTACTTAAAAATGAAAATATGATTAATTATTCTCATTAGTTATTCTAAGTCATACAATTGTTAAATTTATAAAATTTAAACCAACAATTTCCCAATTGTTTTGTTTTGTTGTGAGTAGTTTTAAATTGTATAATTTAATTAATTAAAAAAATATATTTTCATCATTCAAAACATTAAAAACATAGGTAAATATAGAATGAAAAATGACAGTAAAATCTCTCTGAAAGTATAAATAATAATTTAGTCCTTCAAAATACAATAATTTCCCTAAAGTCTCTAGGGGCTTTTTTGTCATTAATGAAATTTTTAAATTACCAAATTGCCCATATTGAAAATAAATAATTTACAAGTTTTATTTAAATATTCACAATTTTATTTGTTATATTCGCAACAATGCAAAAGTAAATCACAACTTTACATGTTAATTCCTTATTTGCTGTTATATTGTTGTGAATATAAAAAAAGTTGTAAATATTTAAACAAAACTTGTGAATCATTTATTTTCAATAAGGGTAATTTAGTAATTTATAAAAATTCATTAATTATAAGGAAATTATAGCATTTTGAGGGACTAAATTGTCATTTATATATTTTAAAGGAATTTTATTATCATTTTCCCAACATAAAACATCTTATCATAGAAAAAATTAAATTGCACCCTGAGTTTTTAAACTTTTCATACAAAGTCAATAGTGGTCCTCAAATTAAGAGTTGATAAATATTTTTAACCAGGTGGTTTAGACAAAACCCCAATTTTTTAAATCCATTTTTAGCAATTTTTTTAATACAAAGCTGCAGATAAAACCGTGCAAAGACACAGGCAAAGTCATATCCAAAACCATAAGTTTTCTATAATCAAGAGCTGGGTTGTCGAAAGTCATAATATCAAAATTTCCATGTGAAATTTGGTGAATCACAAGATCAATATGTCTATTTATTTTTTTATAAACATAATCAAAAGTGACTATTTAATTTTTAATAATAAAATCTCTCATTTTTCTTGATGATAATTGATGATGGATGGCTTTCAGAATGGTTGCATTCAATGAGTGACGTTTAGTTTAGTTCTTTTTGAGTAGGAGTATCTCTCACTTATTTCATGCAATGTATTTGGAAATTAAATTCCCAACCATTTTATTTATTTAAAAATGATAACCCTCACTTCTTACATTAACTTGGGTTTTTAGTCCATATTTATTTAGCAAAAAAAAAAAGTTCGTATTTACATATGTCAGAGTTTTAGGTTATACAATGTCATAATTTTATTCACCCTCATTTTGGGGGTTCCCATAATGTTGTATGAACGCGCGCGCGCGCACACATATATATATATATATATTTTGAGCAATTGTATGAACATATATTATTATTATTTTAATATATTTCATGTTATCATTGTTATGACAAGCCACAACCCTGTGCGTTGCACGGATTGGCCAATTCAAAAGACACAAATTTAAATAATGATAGTATAATCTAAACACTTATAACCATAATATGTGACATGTTGTTATAAAAAAAAAATGAAGTATTATTTAACAAAAGCTGCTGAATTTGACAACAAATGTTTAGTAAAGACATTATTTTTTATTATATAGTGAACTCAAAAGTAACGTTCACAAAAAAATCATGCATTAGTAACTTGGAGTTTTGAAAGATTAAAAGGTTGGAGGTTTTGAAAGATTTCTTTGTACATTATATTAATAGTACTTGACAACTAAATCAGCAAAATTTTAAATTTTTTTAAACAAAAAATTGCACCTGCCGCCTTTTAATTTGCACTTAACTCCATAAAAAATCAATGTCTATACGGGCATTAAAGATAAGCTTAGACCTTTATATAGTTACTCTATTAATTCGTAAGGTTCTTATTTTTCTCCACTAGTCAATTTGCAACCCATAAATTTAGGAATAAAACCAAAACTTTAGGATAGCAATCATTTAAAAGTATAGGGGTATATTTTTCCATAGTCAAGAAGTTTGAAGTGAATTTTTATAAACAAGGGCATCGTAATTTACTAAAAAGGTTTTTAAAATAATCTTTATCCTATAGAATGCTTTCAAATTAAATACATAATTATTTTATATTTCAAATAGTTTGATTCCCACCTAAACTTCTAGTACTAATAATCTTTGTAAAAATTTAAATCAAGTGATATGGCAAGTTTAAATATTTATCTCTAAATATGCAAAAATAAATTATCTATTTATCATGAATTGTTCTAGTGACTCCCGTTTAATGTATGTTCATGAGTGAATATATAATGAAACATAAATAAAGTAAATTAATTAATATTTTTTAAATTTTTTCAATATTAAAATATGAGGATGGATAATAAATTTGAAAATCAAAATTATGATAAAGTCTTAATTTGACATTAATTTTGCTATGAGATTTTAGTCATCCTCCCAAAACAAAAAAGGAATATTTTTTGCTTACAAAAGATATCTTACTCTCACCCAATTTTTTTTTTCTTTGATTGGTTACTCTTAGGGAGAATGACAGAGTTAATTTAACTTAGATCCTAAGTGTTAATTTCAGGAATTTATAAGTTTAATTTTTAATTTTACAACTTTATTATAATAAATTTGTAACTTGTATTTTAAATTTTAATAGGAAAAAATTTATTTATTCTTCAACCATATTAAGATTTAAAAAATAAATTGTAAATTTATCTTAATGAAATTATAAAATTAAAAACTAAACTTATAAATTTTTAAAATTTGATACTTGAAATTTAAGTTGAATTAATTTGTTGTTTCAGGACCTTTCTGTTCTTTTTCCTTGATCTTATTCCCAATGACCTAATTCATATGTTGCGTGTACTTTGGAAAAGCAAAATTAGTAAATGTGGACTAAATACCTTTATTGCTAGCCATGCTCCTGGGTTGATGGACTCAAAGCAATATCCGACCTTCTGCAAACTGCTTGGACTTTTGGTTTGACTTGCTAGAAAAGCATCTTTACCATTGAGCTGAAAGTCAAACTAAAGTACATTTACTCAAAGGAATATTTCGTAAATAAGCTTTAGGACTATTAAAGCTTATATATACATAATCTGATTTACCAGTTATAATACAAAATAAGTAAGAGTACTTATCAATTATAATACAATATAATAATACAGTAATAATATTATGCAATACATACATTTTTAAACTTTCTTCAATGCCTTATTCATATTTATATGCTTTTATATATTTTTGTCTACATTTAACATAAGAAATAAAAAATTTTCCATGCAATGCATGAGATTACAATCTACTTTGATTAAAAGCATAACCAACAAAATAGAAATAAAAAATAATATATTAATTAAAAATCAAATATTGAAATTGGTATATCATCAATTCATCATGCAAAAACTAATAAAAAAGAACATAAGTAAGGAAGAATATGTCTAGTACTTTCAACTTTTGATTTGAAAAAAAAAATGAGAAGAAAGAGGTCAAAGAAAGGCATGAAGTTGATTATTTTCTAATTTCTAAATTAAATATTATATATATTATAAAATAATAATATGGACTGGTCTATTAGACTCATAGGTCAAGTTTTGTGAAAATAAGCCAAACCTTTTTATTTAAATTGATCTAATCAAATGCTTGAACTTGACTAGGAGCCCATTTGTTTTATCCTTTTTTCCCCCTTGAAAAGTCACTTTTTTAAGAAAAAATTACTATAAGTAATATTTAAGGTGCTTATTTAAGATTTTAAAAATAATTAGAATCTGAAGAAAATCAAATATCTGATTACTTTAAAAAACTAACATGAATAACTTCTTAGAATAAGTCATGCAATGCATGAGAGAGAAAATTAGAAAAGGAACGGTGGTTTTCATGCTAAAATTGTAGAGGACAAAAGCAACCCTTCTCCTTGTGTCTTCTTCTGCAACATCTTCTCCAACTCAAGTGACCGTCCTTCACCTCCTCCCTCACTCTAGTTTGCTTGGATCAAATCAGCCTTATCTCCTAACTCTGCTAAAGGTTCAATTTATTATTTTGCTGCCTACTCTGTTAAAATTATTCTATGTGAAATACACTTATGACATCCCCGTGTTGTTTTCTATGATCATCAGCATCTCCCTGAAAATTATTTCAATTTGGGTAGTGTCGCTAAATAGAAGAGAGAGAAAAGATGCTTGTATAATAACTTGAATTTGACTAGTTTTAGCTTGAATTGTGTATATGTCAAAATTCTCTGGATTGTCTTCTTGATGGCATGGATCAAGGGTCTAATGCTATTATTGGAGGATCAAAACCAAATTATCCTTTTAGTTATGGCAAGTGTTTATCAATGTTAAATGAGGTTCCAAACTTGATAAAAGGAACAAATCAACATTTTTTGGCTATGAGAATTCTAGCCAACAAATAAAATAGAATAACATTTTGTCACTTGATCAAGAGATGACCTTCGATTGGCTAAACACTTGCACGCATGAGGACACCCTATGTACTCATTAGTTGGATATATTTTATATGTCATTTTGCTTAGGTGTTGAATTTATAATATTGCACATGTTTTAGATTTTATTTGATTCATTTGACTTATGGAATATTTGGTAATATTTATTCAAAATTTTATATCTATTTGTTCAATTTGTATTAATTACATTTATATTTTCAAGATGATTGATAATTCATATATAAGTGATGATGATTCTGCAATGGAAATTAAAGTCAAAAATAGTTATAAATATAGATTTCAAAGTGCAATGAATTTGGCTGTTTTTTAGTAATAGATCATATGTTAAAGTATGTTGTGAAAGAAAAGAAAACTATTTCAATTCTCTCTAGTCACAAGTGGCTAGTATAGTTGAAAGGGGGAAATGATAATAGGTTTTTTGAGCAATTTCAAAAAAAAATACATGTGTTTCAACAATTGTTTTGAGAGTTGACCAATAACTATGAATTGACACCTACCAAATACATTAGAGTAGATGAAAGTATTGCTTTTTTTTTTTTTGTATATCATGGGTTAAGGAGGCACATATAGATAAGTTCAATAATGATTTTAGCACTCTAGCCAAATCATTCACAACCATTTCAAAAAAGTTTTAATGATTATATATAAGTTAGACAATAGTGTAATTAGGCCCACTGATCCAATGCAAATTGCTACTTCTCAACATAAAAAAGATGATAATCAATATTAGCCTTATTTTAAAGAATGCATATGAGCAATAGATGACACTCATATTGGCATACATGTCCCAACAAATAAGCAGATGCCTAAAGGATATACGAGCACAAATGTAATGGCTATATGCAATTTTAATATGTGCTTTACATTTGCATTGTGTGATTAGGAAGGATTTATTCATGATGCACAGATTTTTATGGATACACCTCATAAACCATGTTTACAATTCCCTTATCCTCTTCAATGTTAGTATTATATAACTTGAGATATTTAAGCAATTTATAAGTATTTATGTAATATTGTTTAATATATTTTCTATTTTATGTATAGGTAAATATTATCTCACTAACTCAGGATATCTATTATTCAAAGGTTTGTTAAGACCATATAGGAATACAAGATATCATCTTGCACATTTTAGGGTAGCTCTTGGCTTTAGATCAAGAGATAAAATATTTAATTTTTATTACTCTAATTGGAGAAGTGTTATTAAAAGAATTTTTTGTGTTTGCAAGATAGGATGGAGAGTATTCCAAAATATGACCAATATCAAGCTTATTGTTCAAATTTCTATCATATGAACATGCTTTGCTCTTCATAACTATGTTAGAAGGATGGACTCAAATGAATTGATATTCTTTAAAATTTTGAAAACCTAAGAGTTACAGTATAGAAAATGATATTTTAATAATGAAGATAGTAATAATGTATCTTATCATGATAAATGGCAAGATCCCAGGTAAGCATATGTCAAATATATAGAAAAAATAAAAAATAATATTAGAGATCACATACTAAGATGAATGTGTTATTGGATTTTTTTTATTTTCTTAATGTCAATAAAAATTTTAAGTTGATGAATCAAAGTTTGAAATAATTTATTTTAAATAATATTATTTAAATATCTACAATTTTATTAAAAGAATTTTTTTTAATATAAATTAAAAGAACCTTTTTTTTATCTAAACATGTTTTTAAAAAAAGTATTTTCATCCAAAAAAGTGAAAAATCATTTTTTAAATAGAAAGTAATTTTTTATAATTATAACCGCATGCAAAAAATTTTGTATTTTTTAAAATCTTTATAAAATAAATTACATTTTATAAAATATTTAAAAATTTCTTTTTTTTGGCTTTTTTTCTCCTCAAAGTATAATGATTATATTAATAAAAATTAAACTAATTTAACATACCAACTCATCAACATATTTACCCATCACACAATTAAAATCTAAAAAATTAACATTATAGTGTAAGAATGAAAAAATTACTTATGATTACATCTTAGATGATTAATTATCTACAAATCTCATCTACTTATAAATACTGATTTTGACACGTGTGTAATTTTTCCTTAAGAAACTGTCACAAACTAGATGTATGAATATTAAACTTTGGCACCAAATTAATTAATAATGGAGACTTGAGTGACTATTTTTAATCGTCAGCGTGTTAATTGAGTGACTAATCCAAGCGTTTGGTTTTTCCTCCAATTTTACAAAACAAAACAATCTCTTGTCTCGTAGAAGGAGCCGATTATTTTTTGTCCGGAATTCCACACTTGTCGACCTGTGTAGCAGTTCTCCGGCGAGAAGAACGCACGAACGAACCCTAGGGCTTTGTCTGCTCCCAAAATCCGGTGAGATTGATTTGTTCAATCTGGCTTTGAATTTGTTCCCCGCCTCATCTGTTCATTGTCAACCCTGCATCGGACGCCGTCGCATTTTTTTTTTCAAATTCTTTTATTTTGTCTAGTTGGAAGATCATAAATTGCGAGTGTTATCATTGTCATTCTTTAGTAGCTTGGATGAGTTGCCTGGATAAATTGGCTTACTAAGGTATCTTCGTTAAGGTGTCTGGAACAAAAATTAAAAGAGTATGATATCAACTATGCTTATTTCAACGATTTCAGTGGGAGCGTGAGAGTAATATAGGTCTGCCTATGCTGTTCATGAAGGGTTCTTCTTAAAAATATTTGTTGCATCAACTGTATGGCCTGCTGTCTGATTGCTACCTTTAACACAACTTTCCTTATGGCTGTTGATTGTGCAATACAGACCAACGAGTTTGATCGAGGAAATTTATAGCTATAATCCTTTGAAAGAACAACGTTATCAAATGGAAAGAGGAACCAAGACTATAGTTTATAACTTTGAATATGCATGTATCTTGGAATTTGTCTTGTTCATTTTTTTTTAAAGAAAAAGAAAAAGAAAAAAAAATTGCCTATCCTGCTATAGATCCCCCTGCTTTGATAGTGTCTACCTTCTTTGCATTACTTATACGTGCTATATAGGTTACAATTCAATGCTGAATAATGTGCTCACTTGCATCAGTAAAAAACAGAATAGAAACATTTAGTAGATTTTTTTTTTTGATTATTTAATATTTGAATTTACACAACATTATTATGATGCAAATTATGTGTTTGCGGGTAGTGACTTTCCATGGTCTTGAGTTTAATTTTGAGTGTAAAATGTTCTGATAAAGCTTACTGCTGCATCAGTTGTTTAGTAAGCATGATCCATGGTTTTTAGCTTAATTTTGAGTGTATAATCTGTGGTAAAGCTTGCCACTGTCTCTGATGATTTTAGCATGATCTAACCTTTTTTAGCTAAACTTTGTGCATAGATTCTGATGATAAAGTTTAATTGAGTTAACAATCTGGTGATAAGGCTTCCTGCTGTTTCTGATGCTTTTATTGGCACGGTCTGGCCTTGTTTTTTTTTAATCTTAACTGAATATAAATTTGGGTGAAAAAGCTTGGTCACACTGTTATTACTGGAATTTCATGATCTGGCCTTTTTTTTTTTTTTACCTTAATTGAGTATAAATTCTGCTTGTTGATTTTGGTTTCAATCCAGTTTGTACATCAAGTTGGGTCAAGTAAATGTCATCTTATGGTGATTTCAGTTCAAAGATTGTTTATGATGGGTCATAAATTTTGTATTTAAACAGGTCTGAATGAACCTAGGCAAGGCTGAGATTACCTTGGTAATTAATTTCAAGTGGGGTTTAAATTAACAGAAATTTAAATGGTGATTTGTGCAGTTCCAAGGATGAAGCAATTGTGATACAGTCTTGAATTTATAATTTGATTGCAATTCAGGTAGATCCTGCTTTGATATATAGGGATTTCAGATAATTTTTGCCTCATCTTTGTTGGAAGGCATTGAAATTTAAGAAATGCTTGTGGTAGGTGTCAGATCTAAGTATGCTTCTTTTTATGAAATTCTTATTATTTTTTCCTTTAATAGTTTGGCTCAGTTGTAGGATTGGACTGGTCACTCATCCTGCAATATGTATTGATTCAGGTTTGCTCTGTTGCAGGAAAAATCAAATTGCTCGTTGAGGTTATGGCAGATAAAGATGAGGACTTGCCAAGGGATGCAAAAATTGTGAAGTCTCTTTTGAAATCAATGGGAGTGGAGGACTATGAACCTCGTGTCATACACAAATTTCTGGAGTTGTGGTATCGCTATGTTGTTGAAGTATTGACAGATGCCCAAGTATATTCCGAGCACGCTAGCAAATCTGCAATTGATTGTGATGATGTCAAGCTTGCTATTCAGTCAAAGGTTAACTTTAGCTTCTCTCAACCACCACCTAGAGAGGTAACTGCATTTATTTAGATAAGTGTCATGCCTACTATTGTGTTTCTTGATATTAAGCTTCATTTTTTAAATAGTAAATTAATCGTGTCTGCTCTTTTGTAATGTAATTGATGGTTCGTTTGGATAAGGGACAGCAGAAGAGAAGAGAATTTTTATGAAAATATTCCTCTTGATTTAAGTTTTGGAAATTGGGATTTCATGGCGTCCTTCCTTACCCAAGAAAGTGTTAGATGAGATAAATTCCTTTATCTTCCTTCAATCCCGGATTTTTTAAGTTTGCAGGTGTTAAGCATGTGTTAGCTAATAAAGAACGTAGTTGGCTGGGGGAGGGGGGGGGGGAATAGTATAAGCATCTAATATAGAAGCCATGTCTTCCTCTTATTGAAATAGCCACGTTGGTAATTGATATCACAATTAATTTGCTGATACACATTCTAGTAAATAAAATAAAACAAAATATTATTGCACAATCTGCTGACATTGGACTCAGAATCATACCAGTGCACAAGCAAGCTGTTGCTCAGCTGCATTTTTTGCTTCTTCATTAAGGTTGAAAAGGAATTATTTGTTTAATAGAAGTATCACATTTAAATTATACTACTGGATTCCAGAAAATCTTGCCTATGATATATCGTCTTTTCCCTCTTCACCTATTTCCTTGTTCCACAACCTTTGAGATTTTATTGTACCTAGCTAACTGAAACATCTACTATCTACTAACTGAACTTTCTGTTAATTGCTTGGGCATGGATTACTTTCTGTTGGCCGGCACTCTTTCCAAGTGGCAAAATAATAGGAAACTAGAGTTGTGCTGATGTTAGAATGCTTGATAGTAATCAACTAGGTTGACATGAGTAGTAGAGCTTTTCTTTTTTCTTTTTTCTTTTGTTTTTTTTTTTTAAAAAAACAGGTAGTTGGGGGCTTGATTCACAGCCTGTGTAGAGAGCAAACCTCGTTGGGATGGAACCACTCTTTGCCTTCGATACTCGAAGGGAAATTAGTCTCTGTTGTAGACAACAGAGAATGCTCATAGTCTGACCTAAAAATCTGACCTAAAAATACTTGATATATAGGAAAGATGTCATGAACTTTTGTTTTATCATGCAACTTATTTAAGCAGTAATTTTTCTCCCAAAATATAAAATGTTTGATGATGTAACAACTCAACAGGTGCTTTTGGAGTTGGCTCGCAGTCGGAACAAAATACCATTACCAAAGACAATAGCAGGTCCTGGCATTCCTCTTCCTCCTGACAAGGATACACTAATCAGCCCTAACTACCAGCTGGTAATCCCAAACAAAAGGCCATCCCAGCCAATGGAAGAAACTGAGGATGAAGAAAGTGTTGATCCCAATCCCTCTCAGGAAGACAAGACAGATATGCAGCAAAATCCTCAACAAAGGGTGTCATTTCCACTGGTCAAACGCCCCAAAGGCTAGCTCATTAAGGGTAAGTCAAATTCAGACGCTTGTAAGAAACTTCTTCCTTTGTTTAATCCAATGAATCATAAGTGAATGTCCTTGTTTTGACCGATAAAGAAGATTGTGGCTTCTTCAATGCTACATATGTATGATTAATGTAGTGACAAAATGTTATAAATTGTGGCTTTGTGATATTATTTTTCATGTCTGTTGTACGGATGGAGACTAGGAGATCTGGAGATGAGATGATTAAGAAATGTACGTGTTTGCAGAACTTGTCAACAAGATCTTGAGATTCCGGTGGCAAAATGAATTGAAGCTCAGATATGCATTTGGTGCTCAGGTGTACATGTTTTTGATGTGATTTGGACTCATCAAATCTTACATATGGAGATTTAAATTCTTAATCTTTTGGGTGATGACTGATTTTCTTCTTTTCTTTTTTAACAAACATATGTTTTTATATTCTGTATTTATTAAAATAAAAATAATTAAAATATTAAATTAAATTAAATATAAATTTATCACAAGGGCAAATCAAGAGTAAAACTACATCTTTTTGCCTGTTTGGAAACTTGGGCCTATTCAACAAAATGTATGTGGGATATTAAGAGCATGTTTTATTTTGTTTTCATTTATTTAAAAAATCTATTTGATTATATTATTTGAAAACAAATTGTGTTAAAAAAAAAATCAGCTGATAGGAGTGATTAGTTGATGGTGGATTTTGTTAGTTAAATGTAGTATATATTTTTTTAATAAAAAAAGCTTAAAATAATTTTATAAGTGAGCTTAAAAATATTTTTATCCAAACATGCTCTTAGTATTTGATTTAAACTGGATTCAAAAGCAACTTCAAAAGCAGGTAAATCTAGCTTCAACATAAAGCTGGGAGACTAATAAAAGCCATTTCAATTTTAGTTTATCTAAACATTAAAAAATGTCTAACTAACTTCTGCTCTTCTAAACTAAGTTTGGGGCCAATCCAAACATGCTCTTCATGTTTGATTTAAACTGAATTTGGATTTACTGTGCAATTCTCACATCACGGAGCTAAAAAACGAATCCTTAAAAGCATCAGACCTGTTCTTTGGCCAGTACTAACCTCAAGTATTACCTTGTTTATTGATTTATTAATATTTTTAATCATCCCCACGAAAATCCATTGAATCTAATACATGCGACAAAGGCACAAATAATTCTTTGATTTTGCCATGTTCAACTTTCAAAATAAAATACGACATATTGAGAAACAGACATAAACGAGGGCATTATAATTAATAAAATCAAATTTTCAATACAATATTTACATGCCTGTCAATCCTGCACAGTTAAATGATCCATGGTTAACTTTAAATCTGGATTTTCTACCACCCAGTATGGAAATGTGCATCAGAAAATGTAATTTCAGCTTGAAGCATCTTCCAAAGTATTTGACCATTTAATTGATGATTACCAGATTTAGAACTAAACAATTTATTTAGAATCAAATATTAGAAACAGCAGCGATCATTTAGGCCCCCATAAATTACTGATATGTCAATGTCAAATATTTCTTATCCCATCTGATTCTACATCCTGCATTCAGTATAAGCAAAAATTCTAAAAAGATTTGCACAAATAATTGAGCCTGCAATAGATCTAGCCAGGACTCCTTTTGTCTTTGCAACAAGAAAAGTCTGGCAGAACATGCAAGTCAAGTTTCTTGCCGTCAACAAAAACACCCCAAAAAAAAAAACAAAAAACAGAATTACAGAATCAGCATCTTCCTAAGTTTAAATTTGATTTAGTTAGTGAAGTTAAGTGGTTATCATTTTTCACCAGAATTGGAGAAAGAAAGTTAACTTCACTAACTCCATGGATCCTCTTCAAAGGATCCTGTTCCACATATACACAGAACCAAATCAAGATATGAAGAAACCATTCTACAAATAATGATTCAAAACTTCCTTTTATTGATTATATTAGAAAATTCAAGATCAATTTCACAACAAAAACAGACTGGGACTTTCAAAGCAAACTAGCTAAGGGATGGAAGAGAAGAAATAAAGTAGGCCATTTCCAATTAAAAATACAATTGATAAAAATCAATGTTGCATTCATCAAAAGTTATATCTACTACAAGTAGTTAACCATCTTCAAATGCAGATTCAGTCCATCTAGTAAGAGATACACAAATATCAATTCTGGTCGAGAATCATAACCTGAGAAGAAACTATACATGGACCCACCTAACTCAACACAACTCTCTCCGGCCATCTTCTTCAGCCCCTTATCTTTCATAGCCTTCCTAGCATTTGCTGCATTCTCCCACATCCCTACTTCAGCATACATGTTTGCAACAATAACAAAATTCCCTCCCCTCCTAGGCTCCAACTGAAGCAACCTCTTCCTCACCTTATTCCCTATCCCTGTATGGTCATTAACATCATGAATAGTGCATGCACTTAGCAAGGTTCGCCATACAATTGCATCTGGCACGATAGGCATTCCCTGTATGAAGTCATAAGCTTCTATGAGATAGCCAGCACGACACAAGATATCAACCATAGCTCCATAATGTATCATCATGGGTTTGACCCCGTGAACTTTTTCCATATCCTGAAAGTATTGGTACCCTTCATTTACCATTCCAGCATGACTACAAGCACATAGAACCCCAAGATAAGTTACATAATTTGGAGTTATGGTTGGATGGTCATTTATTTTGGGGAAAAGTGTGAGAGCTTCCTCAGCAAACCCATGTAAGGCTAGTCCAAGAATCATTGCACTCCATGTCCACACATTTTTCTCTTCCATTCTGCTAAATACAAATTTAGCATAACCTACTGCTCCAGACTTTGCATACGTGTCAACAAGAGCAGTACCTAACTGACAATTGAGAACCATCCCTCTCACTATCACTTGGGAATGTACCCATCGCCCAAGGCTCAAGTTTCCTAACTCAGCACAAGCAGAAAGCATGACAACCATGGTGGTTTCGTCTGGTTCAAACCCACAATCTCTCATTTTCACAAAATACCCAATTCCATCTTTGAACCAAAGGTTCTGAACACAAGCATCTATAACCGAATTCCATGAAACGACAGTTCTCTCAGACATTTCATTAAACACTTGTTCAGCGTCCAAAATTTTCTTGCAACAAGCATAGAAGTTGATCAAGGTATTTTGTACATAAACATCAGAATCCAAACCACACTTGACAACTTCTGCCTGCACCTGCCGTCCTTCTCCTAGTGCTGCAACCATAGCGCAAGACTTGAAAAGGAACGGAAACGTAAGCTTAGAGCGTGTAATTCCTCGACTCCGCATTTCATGGAATACCCAAATGGACTCAATAGGGGAATGGCTGGAAGCATAGCCCCTAATGAGTATATTCCAAGCAACGGATGGTGGGTTGGGAGAGATGTGAACAAGTGTTCGTGCATAGTTCAAGTTCTGGAAGGAAGACAAAGCATAAAAATAAACGAGCTTTCTCAGTAAAAAAGGATCCTGGGAAAGACCAGAAACTTGTAATTGAGCTTGAATCTGAGAGAGTTGTTTGGTGGAAACGCATAGGTTCAGGAGAGAGAGACATTGGTGCTTCTTGGAGACGAAGTTTGCGTTGAGGTTCGGGAGTTTTGGAGGAATTGCCAATCGAACCATGCATTGGCTTTCTATGCGTGTAGTAGCAAACAGAACTTGAATAAATAAATTTGGGCAGTCAATTTTGGTAATTGCTATAAAGCAGGGTTAACGCAAAGACTAGCGTAACGTGACTGGATTCGACCAACGCTCATCCTTAAGGAAGGAAACGAGACTGCCATCCTGGTCTACAGCAACAGAAAGTAACAGTTCTTTCATTCCATCATTCGCAGGCCCATGATATTCACCAAACATACAAAATATGTACTGAGATTTTGACAATCAAATTGCATCTCATTCCTCAAACTCTCAGATTAAGAAACTGAAAAGAAAGCAGAAGCAAAGTGAGATAGATACAGGCCTGGTTTCGTCATTTAACACGCTTACCCACATATTTCATCACAGTTCGCTACCGTTATCATATTTGGCGACGAATCACCCTGCTCCGGCGACTATGTGGTCCCTGGCAATGCGAAGGCCACTGAATTTGAAGACTCCTTCCTAAGAGACAGGCCCTCCGGCTCTAGGGGCCGGTTTAAAAAATCACCGCCATGATATTTTTTCAATATTTTTTCAGAAAAAAGAGGCAGTTAAATTATTAATATTGTATTAACAGAAAAATTACTGATATGGCATGAAATAAAAGGAAAGAAGTTTTTTAAATTTATCTTTATTAAATTCATCATCATTAAAAACATTTTATTCTCTATTCATCTAAAATTTTGAAAATGTAAAATTAAAAGAAAATAATTAATTATTCTTAGATAATTTTTAGATAATTTATTTTCATAAGGAATAGCTCAAATTACTTTAATTTTTTGAAAGAATATATTTGAAAATTTTAAAAGCAGTTCTTTTGCTTTCTTTTTTAAATAAAGAATGCAATTGAAAGTTTAAAAATTTATATGATTCTTTTTTTCTTAATAATTATCATTTTTTTTAAAAAAGGAAAAACTTAATCTTATAATTTTTATATTTTCGCTCAATTTATAATCAAGTCCCTAAAAATTCTATAGCTAAAGGAGTTAGTCCATAGTAATTAACCCCGTTAATTTTTTTTTTTTTTTAATGACATTGCTAGCAGCTAAGTTGTGTGGCTGACTTGCTGGAAAAATTCGACAAGCAGCCTATCTCCCTCTCAAAACGCGGCTTGTTAATGGAAAACAAGAAATTGAGTATTTTCTCTGAGGATAAAACATTAACTCTCTCCTGGGAACTGTATAACATCATAAGAAGGAATATGCAGAAGTGGAAGATGGATGAATGAAACCTATTCTCTTCAAAGCTTTACGAAGCACGACAACTTCAGGACAAGACTTAAAATGTCAAAGAATGGATCTGCAGAAGGAGAAAGAGGAAGGCAACAAAGACTAACCAGAAGTTAAAGAAACAGTTGTCCATCAATGGCCTTTCATAAGTTGAAAATCACATATCCTAAGATTTATATATATTTCTAATATGCTCACTAATTATTAGATATGAGATTTCTTTCTATATTATTTTCTTTGCTATATTCTCTAGATTTTTTCCTTTTGCCTCAATTTATATTTTTTTTAAAAAAAAAACCCATATAAGTTTCGGAGAGTAAATTAATTTATAAATAAATCTCATAAAATTTAAAAATCGCAGCTATGTCTCTTAGGATCTAAGGTAATTTAAAATTAAAATATAAAGATAATACTACAATCTTACCCTTACTCATAATACATGATTAGTTTAATTATTGAATATATGAAGTTACGGTTATAAAAAGTTAAAATGATAATTCTAAATTACTAATAAAATAGTCATAATAATTAATATTAATTTTTTTAATAACGTATTATCAATTTAACTATTAATATGTAAAATTAAAGGTGTAAAATGTTAAAATGATAATTGTAAATTATTGATGAGATAATTATTAACAATTAGCATTAAATTTTTTTTAATAATGCGTGATTGATTTAACTATTAATATTATGAAATTAAAATTTAAAATTTTAAAATGATAGTTATAAATTAACAATGAATTAGTATTGATGAGGTAATTATAATAATTAATATTAAACTTTGTTAATAATGCATGATCAATTTGACTATTAATGTTATAAAATTTTAAAGTGATAATTATAAATTATAAATGAATTTTGATTGATATAATATTTTTTAATAGGGTCATTATTACTTTTGCACCAATTTGAAATTATACTCAAGTCTCATAAGACCTGACTGTAATTTTAAATTTCACACAATTTATTTGTAAATAAACCTACTTTACATGACTTATACAAAATTTTTTTTTCTATTTTTTAATCTAAAAAACTCAAGTCTATTACTTTTTCACCCTCTAGGCAACATAAGAGATTTATAGGATATTGAATAACTTTTATACTTATTTTTTCAATTACACCCTTACTTTTCTTTTCTTTTTTAACTAATCTTTTAAAAAGTGATACATTGAAATTTTAATTACTATTATCAAAACTCTTATATAGAATATTTAATAAAAATATAAATAAAAAAATATGAATATTTTAAAAAATTAAAATTTCAGCTAAATATTATTCGTAAAGCATAAATAATTAATTATGTTCTATATTATAATAGAGAAGAAATAATTATTCTTCTCTTTTTTTTAACTTTCATAAATCTGAACGTTATTTAAGAGAATTCTCGTCCAAGTAATTTCTTTTAATCTCTAATTTTTTCTTCTTCATCTTTCATTTCTATTTATTAAGTCTGATTTTCTCCATTCTTTCCGTTGTATTCCAAATCAAAAAACTCTTAATACCATATCAGTTTTTATATTAAATATACTTTATTTAAATAATTTACATCATTTGGTCAAAGATATCATAAACTTTATATATTTCTAATGTATTCACTAATTATTAGATGAGATTTTCTTTCTCCAACAATCATTTTACATGGTATAACAATAGAGCCAATAATTCAGGCCAAACCCAATAAATCAACCCAATCCACCTAAAAAAAATAAGACCAAACTTGATAATACAAATTTTTTTAAAAAAAGATAGAATATTTTAAACCTGATTTGAATAAATTTGACCATTAAGATTTTCAACTCCATATATAAGTTAATAATTTTGACCAAACTCGATGGACCAACTCAAATCCTAACTTGATTATGTGAATTTTTTTAAAAAGGTATAATATTTTAAACCTAATTCAATTAAGCCCAACTCAAATAAGTTTGACCTGCTTAAATTACCCGCCCTATATAAGAGAAGCTTGTAGGACCCTTTGCTTTGCTTTTGATTTTGTCTGGATGTGGTCCTCAATAGATGAGAGCATGCGAGATTGTTGAGAATGAGAAGAAAAGTGGCTGAATCGCAAGGCTAGATGCTACAACACTTCTCCAATTGAATGCAATGGCCAAAGAAAGGCCTGCGTCAGATTAAAAAAGCATAAGAAAAATACAAGAAAGCTTCTAAAAAAAATAACGGAATTAAAATAACCTCGGCTGAACAATATTGATGCTCTAATACAAAGGGAAATCACACCACAGGTTCTCAGCAATAACATGGTACATAACAGTGATAACTATGAAAGCTATTAAGTAAAAACTAGCCGAAAGAAGTGTAAGAGAACAAAAGAAGAAAATCTACAGGAAAACTCTTATCCAATTTTTTTGCCTTCTTTCACTGTATAGGTATTTCCAAATCAAAGTCAAAGAGTAAGAGACGGTGCAGAGGGGCTTTAGCAAGTCGTGGATAGAGTCCAGAAAACTGAAAAGAGAAATTTAGAGCCTGTTTATTTCTATTTTTAAAAATTATTTTTATTTTTAAAAACAGAAAAAATTTAAAATTAATTGGTTAAGTATTTTCTATTTACTTGTTGCAAAACTGTTTTCATTTTAAAAAGAAAACAAAAAAAACAATTTCTTATTTTCATTTTTTTCTATTTTCAAAATAAATTATATTTGATTATTGAAATTATAATTATATTGATCAATTTTAATAAATCACCATCATTATCATCATTATCAATTATTTTTTAATTCTAAAACTCTTTTTAATTAATATAACCAAACAAATTTTCATTTTATTTTATTTTGAAAAAAATTCTAAAAAATATATTATAAAACAGTTTTAAAACCAAAAAATAAAAACAGAAACCAAACGGACCCTTTTTATTTTTAACTCAACATATGTTTTTTCCAATCAAATTAGAACAAGTGGACTTCAAATTTTTACAACAGTTAAAATGTTAATATACATATCCTAATTTGATTAAGAAGAAATAGGATAGAATCTAGAATCCAAGATAGGTAGAGAGAAATTAGAATCTAACTTCACAAGTTAAGAAGATGGAGGCAAAATCTCTATCACAACATGAACAAGGATCTTAAACTCATACCTTTAATAAAGCCTAAGGCGAATCTTTCAAAATTACAACAAATTTCAAAATCTACTTTCCTATCTCTCCACTAGCTTTTGCCTTATTTATAATATAAAAATAAATATCTAATAAAAATAACTAAATCAGAAAATAACTGACTAGATCCTAACCAACATTGGTTCAATAATAAACAAATTTATCTCTTTATTATCTGTAACAGAAAAGAAAATAACAACTAAAAATATGCTAACAAACTTATTGACTACTTTATCCACTTTCACCCGCAATCCCATAACATACATGCTCTATCAAAGTACAATAAACTTAAGTGCCTAAGTTTTTTCTAAAGGAAAAACAACAAAAACTTAAAAAAAAAAAAAAACTCATTGATTGGGGAACTGAATGGCCAATGATAAGGATAATAGAGGAAGAACAAAGAAAAACATAAAAGAGGAAAGGAATCATAGGGTCATCGCTGGAAATCAGGGGAATAAAGAAGGGATCTGAGTCAGCTCTTTGACCATGCCTATCTAGAAGATTATTCAGATCGGGTCAACTCTAATTAATTCCCAATTCAGCTCCAATTTTTTTTAAATTTTGAGCCCAATAAAAGAAGAAAGAATCATAGGGTCATCGCTGGAAAGCGAGGGAACAAAGAAGGGATTTGAGTCAGCTCTTTGACCATGCCTATCTAGAAGATTATTCAGATCTGGTCAACTCTAATTAATTCCCAATGCAGCCCCAAATTTTTTAGATTTTGAGCCCCGAGATAATTCCCAAACAACAACCCAAGGAGAGAGTTCTCCACAGCAATGGATGTATAAAATAATTGTGGCTCTCAAAATCATGAAAACAACCTTGACTACGCTGCAACACCTTAACTAACCAAAAGGCAAAACCGAACAGGCATACTTTTAACCCTCCACCTTCCTGTGACCACTTTACTCCTATCTACCCACCATCTGACCTTGACCCTCACATCAACAAATCAGAAATCAAATGCTGCACATCAGAAAGAGGTGCTGGTATACAAAGGAAAAACAATCAAACAATGATCAGCCTAAACAAGAGATACAGCAAGAGACAATGAAAAACATACAATCTAAGCAAAGCAAAAAGACTTCTCTAACTCCAAATCCTGAAATTCAATGAGA